CCCCAAAACCCCAAAACCCCAAAACCCCAAAACCCCTTTTTAGAGAAGAGAGATTGAAAAGTTATGGCTCCACTACTTCATATTTAATTTTGATGATTGAGCCAAACTTCTCGTGTCTTTTGTTGCAGAAAAACCTGAATTGGTTTTCATAGACCCCAACTTCTGAAGGGACCTGGAAATGGAAGTACACACTTCCAGACTCATTCGTATTTATAGTACTGAAAGTACTTTTAAATTCTTGGAGAGGTCTCGGCTGTTTGTAGGGGAAAACAGTAATCTCAATTTTATCTCCAACATTTTTGAGAAAGATCTCTTTCTTCATTATTTGATCAGGATTTACTTTCTCTGGTGTCTTACTCTCATGTAGGATCAGGACTCCAAGAGCCCCATAGATTGTGAAGTTATGCTGCTTATGAGAATTCCTTCAGTATCAGAAGAGACATAAGTTATAGGAATCACAGGTGTTGCAACAGAATCTGTCTGTCTTTATGGATGACATCTTTCACCCATCACATTTGATATCTTCGTGGATGTATTTCTGGACTGCAACTTCAGCTTTAAGAGCTTTGATTTCTTCTTTGCATTCGAGTACTTCTTCAGTTCTTTCCTTTCATTCCTCTCTGAGCTCAATTATTAAATCTTCTAGTGCTGAAATGCAATTGTGATCTTCTACTTCTGTAATCCTGAGAATTTTAGAGCATCCTTTAGTTCATTTTTGGGTTCTGTATTCACATACAAGAGAATGCTCAGCCATTTTGCCTCGAGTAGTGATTACCTCACATTGGGAATTACTTGCATTGAATTTTGGCAAACTCTCATTCTAAGTAATGCTTATTTCTGACAACAGGATCACCAGTTAGGATGCTCTCGCATCCATCATTGTGATACTGACATCTGATTTGAAGATCATCTAACATATTTTTGACGATTTTGTGAACTTTTTCTAATTTTAACTTGCCTTCTCATTTATGAGGACACCTGTTGCTATTCGCAAACCTCCATTTATCTATACATTCCTGACAAAAGGAGGATTGGCATTGAGAACACTGGGTTGGGTCATTAACAACCATGAGGCATATCGCTCAGTACAGAAATCTGTTAAGCTCCTTGTCTTCCTCAACTAGGACAAGGGATGGGTCGATTCCAGCCATATTGCAGTTATATCAGAAATAAAATTAGTAATTGATATTTCAAGAATAATTTTGATTTTAGGGGTTTTGGGGTTTTGGGGTTTTGGGGTTTTGGGGTTTTGGGGTTTTGGGG